AACAGAGCGCACAGTAAACACACTTAAACAGAGCACAGTAAACACACTGAAACAGAGCACAGTAAACACACTGAAACAGAGCACAGTTAACACACTGAAACAGAGCGCTGTAAACACACTGAAACGGAGCACAGTAAACACACTGAAACAGGGCACAGTAAGCACACTGAAACAGAGCGCACAGTAAACACACTGAAACAGAGCACAGTAAACACACTGAAACAGAGCACAGCAAACACACTGAAACCGAGCACAGTAAACACACTGAAACAGAGCACAGTAAACACACTGAAACAGCACAGTAAACACACTAAAACAGAGCACAGTAAGCACACTGAAACAGAGCGCACAGTAAACACACTGAAACAGAGCGCTGTAAACACACTGAAACGGAGCACAGTAAACACACTGAAACAGAGCTAAGTAAACACACTGAAACAGAGCACAGTAAACACACTGAAACAGAGCACAATAAACACACTGAAACAGAGCACAGTAAGCACACTGAAACAGAGCACAGTAAACACACCGAAACAGAGCACAGTAAACACACTGAAACAGCACAGTAAACACACTGAAACAGAGCACAGTGAACACACTGAAACAGAGCACAGTAAGCACACTGAAACAGAACACAGTAAACACACTGAAACAGAGCGCAGTAAACACACTGAAACAGAGCACAGTAAACACACTGAAACAGAGCAGAGCAAACACACTGAAACAGAGCACAGTAAACACACCGAAACAGAGCACAGTAAACACACCGAAACAGAGCACAGTAAACACACTGAAACAGAACACAGTGAACACACTGAAGCAGAGCACAGTCAACACACTGAAACAGAGCACAGTAAACACACTGAAACAGCACAGTAAACACACTGAAACAGAGCACAGTGAACACACTGAAACAGAGCACAGTAAGCACACTGAAACAGAACACAGTAAACACACTGAAACAGAGCGCAGTAAACACACTGAAACAGAGCACAGTAAACACACTGAAACAGAGCACAGCAAACACACTGAAACAGAGCACAGTAAACACACCGAAACAGAGCACACTAAACACACCGAAACAGAGCACAGTAAACACACTGAAACAGAACACAGTGAACACACTGAAGCAGAGCACAGTCAACACACTGAAACAGAGCACAGTAAACACACCGAAACAGAGCACAGTAAACACACCTAAACAGAGCTTAGTAAACACACTGAAATAGAGCACAGTAAACACACTGAAACAGAGCACAGAAAACACACTGAAACAGAGCACAGTAAACACACTGAAACAGAGCACAGTAAACACACTGAAACAGAGCACAGTAAACACACTGAAACAGAGCACAGTAAACACACTGAAACAGCACAGTAAACACACTGAAACAGGGCACAGTAAACACACTGAAACAGCACAGTAAACACACTGAAACAGAGCACAGTGAACACACTGAAACAGAGCACAGTAAACACACTGAAACAGAGCACAGTAAACACACTGAAACAGAGCACAGTAAACACACTGAAACAGAGCACAGTAAACACACCGAAACAGAGCTCAGTAAACACACTGAAACAGAGCACAGAAAACACACTGAAACAGAGCACAGTAAACACACTGAAACAAAGCACAGTAAACACACTGAAACAGAGCACAGTAAACACACTGAAACAGAGCACAGTAAACACACCTAAACAGAGCTTAGTAAACACACTGAAATAGAGCACAGTAAACACACTGAAACAGAGCACAGAAAACACACTGAAACAGAGCACAGTAAACACACTGAAACAGAGCACAGTAAACACACTGAAACAGAGCACAGTAAACACACTGAAACAGAGCACAGTAAACACACTGAAACAGCACACTAAACACACTGAAACAGGGCACAGTAAACACACTGAAACAGCACAGTAAACACACTGAAACAGAGCGCTGTAAACACACTGAAACGGAGCACAGTAAACACACTGAAACAGAGCTCAGTAAACACACCTAAACAGAGCTTAGTAAACACACTGAAATAGAGCACAGCAAACACACTGAAACAGAGCACAGTAAACACACCGAAACAGAGCACAGTAAACACACCGAAACAGAGCACAGTAAACACACTGAAACAGAACACAGTGAACACACTGAAGCAGAGCACAGTCAACACACTGAAACAGAGCACAGTAAACACACCGAAACAGAGCACAGTAAACACACCTAAACAGAGCTTAGTAAACACACTGAAATAGAGCACAGTAAACACACTGAAACAGAGCACAGAAAACACACTGAAACAGAGCACAGTAAACACACTGAAACAGAGCACAGTAAACACACTGAAACAGAGCACAGTAAACACACTGAAACAGGGCACAGTAAACACACTGAAACAGCACAGTAAACACAACTGAAACAGAGCACAGTGAACACACTGAAACAGAGCACAGTGAACACACTGAAACAGAGCACAGTAAACACACTGAAACAGAGCACAGTAAACACACTGAAACAGAGCACAGTAAACACACAGAAACAGCACAGTAAACACACTGAAACAGAGCACAGTAAACACACTGAAACAGAGCACAGTAAACACACTGAAACAGAGCACAGTAAACACACTGAAACAGAGCACAGTAAACACACTGAAACAGAGCACAGTTAACACACTGAAACAGAGCGCAGTAAACACACTGAAACAGAGCACAGTAAACACACTGAAACAGAGCACAGTAAATACACTGAAACAGAGCATAGTAAACGGCAAACAGCTGAAGCTAACTACTCAGTGCTCAGTCACCCCAGAACAGAACGCAATAGCACTGGCCATTTTGTAAAATAAAACCCAAGAGCTGCTCAATGACAACACGTGCACCTAGTTAATTCCGTACTCCAATCAATGAGCTTCACTGCATGACAACAGATACGGGACGGTCAGCCAGTGTCTGACCGACCGTCCAGTATCTGACCGTCCAGTATCTGACCGCCCAGTATCTGACCGTCCAATATCTGACCGTCCAATATCTGACCGTCCGCCCACCAGTCCAGTATATGACCGTTCAGTATCTGACCGTCCAGTATCTGACCGTCCGCGACCACCAGTCCAGTATCTGACCGTTCAGTATCTGACCGTGCGCGACCACCAGTCCAGTATCAGACCGTCCAGTATCTGACCGTCCGCGACCACCAGTCCAGTATTTGACGGTCCGCCCACCAGTCCAGTATCTGACCGTCCAGTATCTGACCGTCCAGTATCTGACCGTCCAGTATCTGACCGTCCGCGACCACCAGTCCAGTATCTGACCGTTCAGTATCTGACCGTCCAGTATCTGACCGTCCAGTATCTGACCGTCCGCGACCACCAGTCCAGTATCTGACGGTCCGCCCACCAGTCCAGTATCTGACCGTCCAGTATCTGACCGTCCAGTATCTGACCGTTCAGTATCTGACCGTCCAGTAACTGACCGTCCAGTAACTGACCGTCCAGTATCTGACCGTCCGCGACCACCAGTCCAGTATCTGACCGTCCAGTATCTGACCGTCCGCCCACCAGTCCAGTATCTGACCGTCCAGTATCTGACCGTCCAGTATCTAACCGTCCAGTATATGACCGTCCAGTATCTGACCGTCCAGTATCTGACCGTCCGCCCACCAGTCCAGTATCTGACCGTCCGCCCATCAGTCCAGTATCTGACCGTCCGGTATCTGACCGTCCGCGCCCACCAGTCCGTGTCACGGTCACAGTCTATGTCACGGTCTGTGTAATGGTCTATGCCACGGTTAAGGTCACGGTTAAGGTCATGGTCTATGTCATAGTTTAGGTCACGGTCTATGTCATGGTGTATATCACGGTCTGGGTCACGGTCTGTGTCCTAGTCTGGGTCATAGTCTGTGCAATGGTCCGGGTCACGGTCTTGGCTACTGTCTGGGCCACCCTATATTTGTATTAACTCCATTTCAAATAAGTTTCTCCCAAGACTATCAAAACCAGGTACAGTCGGTCGGTCCAGCTCCAGGTAAAGGGCTCCCGATGAAAAAGCGGTGACAATAATTAGTAGGCGCTACTCAGAGGGCCCAACAATATCCCGCGCCGGGCCGTTGCTCTGAGATTCCGCGCCGGGCCGGGGTGTGTGTCTGAACCCCCCCCCCTTCTAACTCGGCTCCTGGGCCACGTAACGACACGCGGTAAGCGGCAATCGAAAGAACGTCCAAAATAAGGAGGAAAACACTTCAAACATTTTTTGGGTCAGGCCAAAAGTTAGGTCACCAGAGGTCACCAAAGGTAAAATGCTGACTATTTCAACATTCTGGAAACTGTCAACGGCTATCTCGGGAACTGATCTTAGGTCACCGATATCCAAATTCCGAGATATAAATTTTATAGATATTAGATACTTTTGCTCTAATTAATCGCTGAAAGTTCCAAGTCAATCGATCAATCGGTGTAGCTATGACGAGCATTCTTATTTTTTTTCTGAGGTGAGGTCACTTGGCGTGACCTGGTGACCTGACCTAAGGCGACCTGGGTCTGAAATTTTCCCAACATGTGTGGAAAAGATGCACGAACAGGTGTACCAAAAACGGCGGCGCTCCGCGCCGCCGTTTTTTGAGATATCTGCGAAAAACCACAAGGAGGGGGGGGGGGGTTCAAACACCCCCCGGCCCGGCGCGGGATATCAGGCTGCCATAGTAACGGAGGAAAGCTGGCGTGAGGGACTATCTAACAATTCGTTTTTCAATGCAATACTTTATCTAAAAGCAATAAAATGTATTTGATCGGAAGTAGAATGAGTCGTACTTTTCATGCATGGCTCATGCTGATTGCTCGGTAAAGGATCAAAAACTATGTTTTTGTCGTTTTGAATGGTGACGGTTGCTGAAAGTACTAACACAAGTGTCTCAACTTTTCGTAATACAAATGCCGGGTAGGGGGGCACCCCTCCCCTGGTTTCAATTGCAATAAATATGGGAAAAAAAAACATTGTATAGGGCCCACCTTGTTCGTGTTTTCGTCCACACTGCTGGCCATTGGCGGCTGCAGCCAGCGAGGTGGGCTGTCTCCCACGTCCTGGACGTTGACGAAGACGGTGACGGAGGAGCTGAACGTGGTTCCCCGGACATCGGGGGTGTCCTGTCGAACAAAAGGACACACGTGACATACAGTGCGCACTGTCGCACTACCGGGTGTCCTGTCACACAGAGGGACACACGTGACATAGGGGAGAGTGGGGTGGGTTGTATCAGTTTTTACTCCGAGGCCCATAACCTCGTAAATATCCGTGATAAACTCATTATTTCCATACTATCTCCTTCCTCGATTCTTCTGCTTTTTTGTCCAAAGTAACTTTTCCGCTACCTCTACCAGTTTTTCTTCTACGGTCTGCCGAACAGAACAATGTTTTTGATACAACTTGCCCCATGGCTTGGGTGAGTTGTATCACATGGTGGGGTAATTTGTATCACTAGGCATTTCACGTTTCAGGGAGTGTGCTTGCTACTGGTTTTGAACATAACAACAACATTAAATGGGGTTAATACAATGTATATGCTCAAAGGCTTCACTTTTATTAGACCAAACTTAGGTCAATGCAATCCGAACGAAACATCGAAACGAACGAAACATCAACAGACTAGATGCAAAAGTGGCCCGTTAAGAGCAAAGCAGCCAACACATTGTGCCGAAATGGAACGAGTATTGACTAGCTGCCTACAAACGCGAGACAGGGCTTAGCTTTCGCGATCAAAAGCAACATGCCCATACATACATACATGTTACAACATACCCCACCCGGCTCTGATACAACATATACCTCGCCGCCATCTTGGAAAAAACATCCTCGTGCTCAAAAACAGCGGACAGCTGGAGAAATCCATTTTCACTCACGCAGCCTTAGAACCTACCCTCACCACCGCTACGGAGATCTTTCAAATTCGTGCACATCTAAATGCCCAAAACACACATTTTCCTGCAACTCATTTTTTTTAGAATGACATTAAAAAAACATAAAATCGGCTCTCACCTCGAGACGCGTCCACCCAGCCACACGACAGAACAGGGAAAGATGGCGCCCGGAAAACCTTGTCGGCTGGTCGTGTCACGAGCGCCATCTATTGGATAAGTTTGGCACAATTCGCCCTGATACAACTTGGACATGATACAACTCTCCCCGCTCTCCCCTACAGTGGCGCACTGTCACACAACCGGGCGTCCTGTCACACAGAGGGACACACGTGACATAAAGTGGCGCACTGTCACACAACCGGGTGTCCTGTCACACAGAGGGACACACGTGACATAAAGTGGCGCACTGTCACACAACCGGGTGTCCTGTCACACAGAGGGACACACGTGACATAAAGTGTTCACGTGACGTAAAGTTCACACGTGACGCGCCGCTCAAGCGAGTTGGCGCGTCGTAGGCCTGGCCGGTGACAGGGGCGCTGCCCCGTGGCACGTGAGACGCGAGGCGGCGCGGGCGGGGGTGGCGGTCCGTCCAGAGCTCCGGGGAGTTATCCCACAGCTCTCCCCGGACGGGGCGGACCAACAGATCTCCCCGGGGTCGGGGCGGACATAGCTAATGGTGCCGTCTCGGCCTGGCCGGACGGGCCGCACATACAACTGTGGATACGCCAGACAGTTGTGATTCAAAAGTGTCCTGTTTTATATTGTTGTGTTGGGCCATTGTTATGTAAATAAACATTTTTTGAGGAAGAAAAAAAGTTCACCGAGTTGTACAACATTTAGTTCGGGTTTTTTGAGGTCACTGACCTGAGGTCAGTTAGAGGTCATAGCCTCGTAATGTTAAGCCTACGGGAAAATACTAAATTCGGAAAATACTGGAGATATCCACTTCTTTCTATCACTATTGTGCTTTGAAACCACAGTACGTAACAGCAGGACACTTGGTGCTTCTTTGTTTGGTGTACTTATCCATGGGTCAGGTCAAATGAGGTCAACTGAGGTCACATGACGTTTTTACCAATAACTTGGGACATAATGACGCTAGAGCTTAAAAATTGGTGTCATTATGTTCCTGGGGATCAGCTGAATCGAATGATATGCGATATGCTGCAATTTGGTTAATTTGAACTTAATTAATTATTTATAGTTTACTTAAAATAAAGAAAAACTATAAGTACATTTAAGCAAGCTAAAAAGTACGTCATCCGACGCGCCTTGACGTGATGAGTTCACTAATGCTTTTATTTTTGCTCTATCTTAATTAGATCAAAAGTTATAAGCGAAAAACTTTTGACCTGTTTTTAGCGAAATTTTTACATTTATATCCCCCAAAAAACCTAGATATTGACCTAGAGAAACCAAATTTGCACAGGGGCGAGAACTCCAGGGGGCCCACCTACCTACCAAATTTGGTGTTTTTAGGTGCCATAAGAGTCAATCGCGAGGGGGGTCGCATCGACGCCCCCTGCCAGGGCGTGTTATGAAAAATGCCCTGCCAGGGCGAAGGTTAACCTTCGCCGGCCGAGGGGGGGGGGTCGGGTGCCGCCCGAAAAGAACCCATAGGGTTTTTTCGCGATAGCTTCAAACACGCTGGCGATAGAGAGAGCATACCTGACATTTGATCCAAGCCGCATCTTTTCACACCAAACGCATTTTTGGGTCAGGTCAGGTCACTGACCTATGACGTCATAAGTGAACCTCTGCACGGTCTTCAGATGTCGCAACTTCGCAACGCCCTCACTGCCAGAGGAGATGTCACAGGGAAATGAAACTTGCAGGATCTAGTATCCATTATGAGTCTCACAACTTGTAGATCTCGGATTTTTCCTAAAGGTCATATGAGGTCAGGTCATTTTCGTGATCTCACCATTAAAAGTCAATGGGGAAAAATGAAAACTGCTATTCCGGCGCCGGGAACGATCTCCAACTATCTCAAGCACACAGAATCGTGATTTGATGCACTCCTTGCAAGTTTAGATGCGTCACTTTTGCAATTTTGACCTTCCGTGACGTCATTTATGACGTCATCAAGGTCATATTAGTTTTTCGTCAATAACTCCCGATCAAATTGAGCTAGCGAGTCGAAAAAGCCACCAATGGACTCAGGAAGACCTGCCGAATCGAATGATATGCAACATGACCTCTTTCGACCAACTTCGTGACCTGGGGGTGCTGACCTGACCTTGACCTGAGGTCAACACCCAAAGTTGACCTGACCCAAACAAAAAGTATATCATTCGACGCGCCTGAGCGAGGCGAACACGATGCTGCCAAAATCGCGGCTCTGCGGCCGTTTTTTGCGAAGTTATTCACCAAAAACTGAACCGTACCCTGGGCCACTTGACCTGACCTCAGAGGTCACCGGTTAACACGCGCAGTGGAAGGGGGGGGCGGATTTCGCCCACCCCTCCTGTTTTTCGCCAATAACTCGCGTCGCAAACATAATATTAATGTGAAATTTCGGCTACCTGCCCAGAATTGAATTGCGGATCTTCTCGTGCAAGAAATAAGAAAATCGGTTCTCAACTTTTCTAGTAATAGCGGTCTAAAGTCAAACATCCTGCCGCCGCGGCGGCGCGGCGGCGCGGCGGCCGGCGCTAGCCGTTACGCGCCGCCTGAATTGTAGACTGTGCCGGGGCGGGACGGTTCCTTCTTTACATCGCGCTCCTTACCGCTGATTATATCAGATTCGCGTCAAATTCGGTGAGAAGACTGAGAAATGTACAGGCAATCATATGGTCAAAGAATTTTGAAAATCGGCCGGTAATAATTTGAGTTATGAGTGTGTAAACACAAAATTGTGATTGCCGCGTTTCCCGCGTCGGCCGATCCCGCTTCAGCTGGCGACATCTTACACTTAGCAGGCTTCTAACTGCCATATTTATTGTTGGATTATCTAGAAATTCACCATACATACTCACAAATGTTTGTTCTTTCGTATAGTGAAAGAAAAAAAGAAAATCGGCCGGTAATTTTTTGAGTTATCGGCGTGTAAACGCAAAAAAGTCGCTAATATGGCAGATTTGACCACATTTGACCTCATTTGACCTTGAAGATATTGACCTAGGGTCATGAAATTCACACACAACAGAGTTCCCCATGGCCCCCACCTACCCTCCAAATTTCGTCTTTCTAGCTCCAGTGGGAGCTGAGATCTTACATCCGCCCCCCCCCCCTTCCACTGGGCGTAGTACTCGCAACCCTTCCACTGCGCGTGTTAACCTAGGACCTTAACCCGCGCGGGGCTGGGGGGGTAAATTTTACCCCCCCCCCCCTCGCGAATTTTTGCAATATCTCAAAAACGGCGGCGCAAACTTTCAGTACCTTTTCTTACATCAATTTGACACGTTCCCTGAAAATTTGAGCGAAATCCGTCGGAAAATTTTTGAGAAATTGACGTTTTAGTGACGTCATGTTCGCCATTTTTGCCTCAAAAACGGCAAAAGTTCAAACGCCGCTAACATCTTCATTTTTAAAGGAATCAAGACGTAATAAAAAAACGATATACGTAATTTTACTTTGGCTATCAAATGGCTATCTCGGTTTTTTGAAAATTTTGGATTTTGGCCCAATTTTTTTTTCAAAAAACTGACTTTTTTGGGGAAAATAGCTATAAAATCCAAAATTTTGAGTGTATCGAAAAAACCGGAATATATGTCAGAGAAGTGGTCTATGTGCACCTACATACCAAGCTTTAGAAGAATCGGTTCAAAAATGTGGGAGTTATTCAAAATTGTATGACGTCACGACACACAACAATTTTGAAAAATGACTTTTTTTGGAAGTTCTAAACCTCGTACGGAAACAAAAGTAGTACCATTCGATTTGCCGTGAAAAACTGCATCAGATAGACACCTTTTTAAGCCTTAACAACCAACTTCAAAATTTGACCTCACTTGACCTGACCTTGACCTGACCTCGACCTGAAATTCATCCAAAGGTGGTCCATATCACTTATTGAGTGTGCCTATTGAATTCTATGAGTAAAATGACCCATAAAACATGTGTCGCACATGCCCTTTTCTATATTTTGTTTTTGGTGACCTGACCTGACCTGACCTGACCTTGACCTTGACCTCTGAATGATATTGTATGCAACGAATATTGTCTTGGTAGCCTAAGAACACGTTTTGGGCGATCAGTCTCAGTCCATGACTCCATTCTTCGGC